CTTAATTACCATTTATTGCAAAGTCACACAGAAATATTAAATGCTAATTTTGACTTACATGCTCCTGGCCAAGAAAAGGGATAATAATTTCCATCAAACACAACCTGAATTCATTTTGTGTAAGGGTGATTCAGAGTAGAGATTTGAAATCGTAATCAAGTTTTTCTCAAAATCGCCTTACCCTGGCAGTCAGTCACTAATGTCTCTGCTAATTGGTAGGCAAATGGAAAAATAAAAACTAATATTAAAAAACCCTCAGTATTACAAAGCCCCAAACAACTAGTGAAACAAAACAAAGTTTAAAAAAATCCAACAAACCAAAAGTTTACTCCTCTCATCAAACTACTCTTACAATGTGACAGTTTAAGAACAAAATTCATTTTATTTGGTTGGATGGGGCTAATCCCACATCACTATAATCCTTCCTGATGTTTTATTGATTCTAAAGAACATTTAATCAGGAAGCAGCTCAGCACTAGAATCCTGCTAATTAGCAAACAGCCACATTCAAAATGGGTCCCCAATTGAACAGCAGATTAATGGACAATATGTACTAAAATAATGATTCGTGCATTCAGCTCCTAAAATGTGTGTCTAAATTGCATCTTTAATCTCTTAAGGACATAGGTTTGCATACAAAATCCTTAATGGAATGGGTTTAATTCAAAAGAAGAAGATTTAGCCAATACTATTTAAGGATGAAACAGGTTTATCTCTTATAAGTGTAATTTTTCATTGGTTCTCATGGTTTTAATGTCCTTAAACATTCAGAGGTCAAAGACAGGTGAATAGAGAAATTAGTATATCTCTGATTAGTACATAAAATGGTGGAAAATTAAAATGAAGAATATTAAAATAATAGTATGTAGTCTAACCTCAGGGAGCTCTGGTGATGAAGTCCATAGAGAGCTGTGCTGCTAATCCAAAAGTAGCAACTCTCTGGAGGTTTGAATTCAATGACTTCACAGGAGAAAGATGAGCAATCTCCTCCAATGTGACTGAAAATTCATGAGGTTCAGATACAAGTTGGCTGCAACTCAATGACAATGAGTTTTTACCCAAATTTGGAGTATGTATGTATAATGTTCAACTTAACTCAATTGCTGTTGAGTAGGAACAGACTCATAGCTGACTCTCCAGCAAGTTTGTAGAGACTGTAAATTGCACCAAAGATTGCCCATCTTTCTTTTTTTTCTTTTTAAAAACTCATTGTATTATATACAATAATTTGTTTATATTCATGTACATTGTTTGGGTTTTAAAAAATACTTACTTACAAATTCTAAACACATTGGTTTTCACATCAGATCTTTCTCATTTCCTTCAACCGCCCCATCCCTCACCAAATTGTGCAATCCAATCTGTATGCAGAACAGATCATTCAGGAACTAAGGCTTTATGAGGAGTGTGGCATTAAGATTGAGGAACACTCATCAAGAACCTACAATAAGCAGGTGACACAACCTTGCTTGCTGAAACAATAAAACCTGAAGCACTTGCTGTAGATGGTCAAGGACTGAGTCTTCAATATGGGTTGAAGATCAGCATCAAGAAAACAAAGATTATCACCTCTGGACCATTTGGCAGCAGCAGGATAGATAGAGAAAAGATTGAGGTTGTAAAAAATTAGAGCTTGCTCAGCTCCACAATCAACACTCTCGGTACTAGCAATCAGGAAATCAAAAGATTAGTTGCTTTGGGAAAATCTGCTGTCATGGATCTCTCCAGAGTGCTGAAAAGAAATGATGTCAGTCTGGAGACAAATGTGTGCCTAATCCAGGCCATGGTCTTCTCAATTACTTGTTATGCTTCGGAGAGCTGGACAATGACTAAGAATTACAGAAGAAGAATCGATGCCTTTGAGTTGTGGTGCTGGAGAAGAGTCTTGAACATACTATGGACTGCCAAGAAAACAAATCTATCTGTCTTGGAGAGGGTGAAATCAAGTCTCTCCTTGGAGGCTAGGATATTTGAAGCTCCCTCTCACATACTTTGGGCATGTGGTTAGGAGAGAGACTGGTCCTTGGAGAGGGACATCATGCTCGGAAGAGTGGAGGGACAACGCAGTAGAAGAAGACCCCAGATGAGACGGATTGGTACAGTATCTGGGGCAATGGGGGATGGTGTGTCAGAATTAGTGAGACTGGCCCAGGACAGGAAAGGGTTCAGAGCTGCTGGACATAGGGTCGCTATATGTTGCAGGGGACTCAATGGCACATAACAACAATATACTATATTGGTTGGTTGTTGGGTATTTTTCATTTTTTTATTTAAGCCCCTTATTTAGGGTCAACAAGACCTGAGGGAAGGCCTTTGTATTTAAAAGTTAGTTGTTACTGTATTTTGGAGGAACATTCTTCTAAGTGGTACAGCATTCTTCTGTCAATATACTGTACTGAGGTAACCTAGGGTTGCTGTGATGATGAACATTGTGCCACTGGGGTGTCAAATGCCATAATGGTTACCCATGGTGGACAGTGTCTGGTGAAGCTCCTAGTGGAAGACAGGTTTGGTAACAGGTTTGGCATCCACTTCCTAAACAACACGCCTCTGGAGACTTTATGAACTTTGATAAATGATGACAGTGATAGAAATGCTTCAGGCCTTTTGTTCATAGTGTCACTATAAGTCGTGCTTGACTGACATCAATCAAAAACAACATGATTAACATCCTTCCAAGCCCCTGCCCATCCTCACCCCTCTGTTTTCACCCTCACCTTTCCTTGGATCCTCATGCTCATTCTACAATAATGGTTTTATGCAATATTTATCCTTATGGGATTGAATTAGTTTACTTAGCATAATGCTCGCCAGTCCCTCCCAAGTTAGGTAATTTACAAAATCATTGCGCCTGCATACTGCGTAGTATTCCATGGTTAATATACCATAATTTCTCAATCCATTTGATTGTGGTAACAGAAAAGCAAATAATAAATATTGGAGAGGATGTGGCAAGATAGGAACTCTTACATATTGTTGGTGGCATTGTAAAATGGTACAAACATTCAGGAAAGCAGTTTGACGCTCCTCAAATAGTTGAATATAGAAATTCCATATGACCCAGCTATTTCACTGCTTGGTATATACCCTGAGAAAATGAGAACTGAGGCTCAAACAGAGACCTGTACACCAATGTTCATAGCAGCATTATTCACAAGAATAATTCAGCAAGAACATGGCAACAGGCTAGATGTCCAACCATTTTCTCTCCTGAGAAGAAGCTCATGGATTTGAACCTCCTGCCTTTGGGTTGGTAGTGAAACACATTACCCACTATTGTTATGTCTTGTCAAATTGACCATAACTCATATTGAACCTATGAAGAATGAATTTGAACCCTGCACCATTTCCACCATCTCTGATATATGTGAATCTACTGATATAGTCACTGTGTTGTTCCATCTTGTTGAGGGTCTTCTTTTTTGCTGACCCTCTAATTTCCCAAGTATGATGTATGATGTCTCTTTCCAAGGACGGGCCCCTCTTGACAGTATACTCAAAGTATATGAGAATAACTTCACCATCCTTGCTTTCCAAGGAGCACCCCAGTTGCATTTTCTCCAAGAAATATTTGTTTGTTTCTTTGGCAGTCTCCACGGGATGTTAAGCACACTTCTCTAACAGCTACTCAAGGGCATCCATTCTTCTTCTATCATTCATAGTCATTGTCTAACTTTGAAATGCATAACAAGCTTGTGGATTTGAATTATGTCATACCTTTGATATTGCATCCCAGCTCCTTACCACTAGCCCATCAGACTCAGTCCATAATGGCTAGATGTGAAAGTTTCCTGTCTTTATTAACTATGGCCATAAAAAGTCATTGGCCTTTAGATAATAATAAAACATTACATGACTTTATATTAAAGTGACCATATAGTTTCCTTCACATATGAAATTTCTATTAGTCCGCCAAAGTCTATGCACAGTACCTTAATGTTCTTAGGTGCCATCACGTTAATTTTGACTTACAATTACCCTATAAAGACCCTTGCCCAATCCTGCACCAGTCTCACAATCTCCACTCTGTTTAAACCCATTGTTGCAGACACAGTGGTAATCCATTTAGTTAAAGGTCTTCCTCTCCTTCATCTTTCCAAGCATTATATTCCCTTCAAAGGACAGACCCCTACTGATAACATGCTCAAGTATGTGAGATGAAATTTTACTATCCTTGCTTCTAAAGGACATACTGGATATACCTCTTCCAAGAGAGATTTCCTTCTTCTTCATCAGTCCATGATATATTCAGCACTCCTTGTCAACACCACAGTTCAAAAGCATCAACTCTCTGGTATTTCTTATTCATTGTCCAAATTTCTCACACATACGAAGCAATTGAAAAATGTCATGACTTGAGTCATGCATACCTTAGTTTTTTAAGTGACATCTTTGCTCTTGAACATGTAAAGGGAGTCCTTTGCAGCATATTTTTCCAATGTAGTATGCCTTTTGATTTCTTCACATTGTCTTCATGTTGATTGTGGATATAAGTAAAATGAAAATATTGGCAAATTCAATCTTTTTCCTGTTTAAAAGACTGTGAGCAGTGTGGGGACAGGCAAGTCTAACTCCCACTAACTCCACAAAGGGGAATACTCATCATCAACAACATCTACTACACAAAACCAAATACTAGGAGGTCAGACTCAATGCTCTATTACTGGATTTGCTGATCTATTGTTTTGTTAGAGAAATCAGCAAGTTACAATTCCTGGAAAGAGGATGCAGTTCCTCAGCCAGGGCAACTTCTAATGTATGCTTACAGGCCCTCTGATCTTCAGTCTCTTGATTTTAGGTCAGTGTCACAAAATTATCTTTGTCTTGCTAAGAGACTGGAACAACAAATACTAAACACCAGATAAGTTGTTTTATTATCAAGAATATAGAATATTAAGAAAGCAAAACATCATTAGAAAGAGAAGGGGGAAAAAGATCAATATGACTATCAGAAGAGAAAAATGGTGTCTTAATAGACTGTGTGCAAATAATCAACTTACTTTATTTCATTTTGGTAACTCAGATCTTGATGGCTAAGCAATGTTTCCAGTAAGCTCAAAGTCAAATATAGCCCATGCTTTCCACATATAACTCTGACCTGTAAATAAAAAAAGCATTCATTTTCATGAGATTAAAACTGATCTATGAACTGAGCTTTTCCACAATTAGAATCTATTTGATTCGACAAGAAATGAATACCCATGAGTACATCCTACCATTTGTATATCATTTGTTGTATTTGTTGTATGCCATTGAGTCAGAAGAGATCCATAGCTGAAATTCCAGCAGGTTTTCAGAAGCAGTAATTGCATGAAAGGAGATTGTCTGTCCTTCTCTGGGACAGGAATACACAACAGTATAGTAGTAATAAACAGGAATTTGTATTTAATTAACGCAGAGATACAGCTCATTAGTTGGTGGTCAGTGATATTTGAAACACTGGTCTTACAGTCATGAGATGGGTTGTCAAGGAGTAGGAATTTTCTATTGTCCATTAACTAAAAAATGCATTGCTGTTGAGTCAAAACTGACTTATACTGGACCATCCAGCCAATTTCTCAGGCTGTACATTGCACAGTAGACTACGCATCTTTTTACCATTGAGACGTTGGTGAATCTTAATTACCAGAGAGGTACTACCTTTGAGTGTCTTTCTATGCTACTAGTGTTCTCTTTACAATCCATTGGAAGGGAAATTTAAAAATTTTTTTTTAACATTTACTTTGATTAAAATAATAAGTCTGTTGGTTTAGCAAAGACAATATTTACTGTGTATTATTTTATTTGGAAGAAACCTGGACATATAGCTATTAAGTGATTTCCTGAAAATCACATAGCAAATAAATGATTGTTCTAGATATCTAGATATTGAATGTTAAGTATTTGTGGAGTAAAGTATTATTGCAGTTTCTCAAATGCTTAACACTTTCTGACTAACAACTCAGTTCAATTTTAGATTGTTGTGCTGGTATTGCTGTTACGTGCCATCAAGCCTTGACCATGATTCACAGCAACTCTAAGAACAATATCTCTCAACTCTGCCCTATCCTGAGACAATCTAGCAGTTTCTGACACACCTGCCCCCATTACCCCAGCCACTGGGCCAATCCTTCTCACCCAAGGTCTTTCTTGTCTTAACCCTCCAGCCTTCCAAATATGATGCTCTTCTCCAAGGACTGGTCCCTCCTGGCAACATACTCAAAGTATGTGACACTTAGATTCAAATGTGTTTAAAATTTGAAGGCTATAATAGTATGTTTAGAATACTGGTTAAAAATACAGATTTTGAAATCAAATAGATTTTATTTTGACTATCAGATCTACTTCCTGTCATCTGTGTGATGTTTTGGAAATGAGCAAATTTCCCTACATCAAATTAGGGACCCCTGGTGGCTTAGGGGTTATTCTAAAGATTTGTGGTTTGAATCCACCAGTTGTTCTGTGGGAGAAAGACAGGCAATCTTCTCCCACACGGTTCATTGTCTCTGAAAACTTTCTGTAAACTCAACTGAGTTAGTTCCAACTCTATGATACTCAACAGCAACAACATAGCAAAATACATTTTTTTTTTACTAAGTAATAACATTTTCTACTACTCAGTATTCAGTACAGATTGGATTACAAAATAAGCCAGCAACAACATAGCAAAATACATTTTTTTTTACTAAGTAATAACATTTTCTACTACTCAGTATTCAGTGCAGATTGGATTACAAAATAAGCATGTAGGATAGAACTTAGACATTAACAGGCATTCAATTGCTGCTTATTTTAATGGAGTAAAGAAGAAAGATGACAGAGCAAGAGGGAAAGAGGGAGGCAGAAAGCTAGGAACTAAAAAAAAGAAGTACCTAATTGTCATTTTGAGTCATGCCACATAAACAAATGAAGGATCTTAACTGGGTGAAAGTTTCAACTGAAGCATCTACATCATTAAGGAAGACTACTCTGAGGAGGTGATCCTAATCTTGAGTTCCATCTAGCCTGACAGTCTTATCATCTGGTCCATTATACGATAATGATTCACTGTTATTTATAAGGTTTTCAAGAACCCACTGTTTCAGAAGTGAACAGCCAGTCTGGCTTTTTAGTCTGGAATTTCTGCTGGAACGTGTAGGTGACCTTGCTAGACTTTGATAAACTGGTGGCATAGTTTCTTTATCACAGTATTGCACAAACCACCACAGTACAACAAACCACAAATAGCCATAGTAATTTAAATTGATTCACATGTGTGTGAAACTTGGAATGGCTAAGGAAGGCCAAAGAAGAATTGGTGCCTTAGAATTGTGGTGTTTGCAGAGTATTGAAAGTGCACCCTTCATCAGAAGCAAGGATGATGAGATTTCATCTTACATATCTTGGGCATCCAAGAAGTCAGTTCTTGGGAAAACACATCATGCATTAAAATAGAGGGTGACTGAATAAGAGAAAACCACTTAATGCAATGGGTTAACACAGAGACTTCAACAATGAATTCAAGTACAACAGAGCTTGTGAGGATGGCATAAAAGCAGGCAGAATATGGCCTGAATCAGGTGCACCTTAGTCCTCAAACATTTTTGTTCCTCAATAATTTAGTGAGGGCTCTGACAGGGACTTTCCCAGTGCAATATGTTTCCTGACTGTTAAAACCATTTTAGTCTATCATGAAGTTGCATATTGGTCCAGTCGTAAGACTGTTTTCTAGACATAGAGATGCAATCCATTTAAAAGGTTGTATTTTTTGATCTTCTACAGCAAGTACTCCTCATTTCAGCAAGTTGTGTCATCTGCTTAATGCAGGTTGCTGATGAGGATTCCTCTAATCCCGAAGCCATGATTTTATTCATAGAGTTCAGATTCTGGAATAATTTTCTCAGCATAAAGATTAAGTAGGTATAGAGAAAAGGTGCAACTGTGACATGCAACTTTCTTAAATATAAACTACGTAGATTCTCACCACTGGGCCAATTGGCAGCACCATGATAGATGGAGAAGAGATTAAATTGAAAGAATTTGTTTGAATTTATACTCAAGTTTTGTAAATAAACTAGTAGACAAACAAACAAACAAACAAACAAACAAACAAACAAACCAAAAACAATTACAGCTTGCTTGGCTCCACAGTCAATACTCTTAACACCAGTAATCAGTTAGCAAAAGACAAATTACACTGGGACCATCTGTTGTCAGGGACCTCTCCAGAGTACTAAGAACCAATGAAGCCAATCTAGAGACTAAGGTGTGCCTGATCCAGGCCATGGTCATCACAATTACTTGTTATGCATCAGAGAGAAAAATGACTAAAGATTATAGAAAAAGAATTTATGCGTTTGAGTTTTGGTGCTGGAGAAAGTCTTGAACATACCACATCCATACTGGCAAGAAAACAAAGTGTCTTGGAGAGAGTGAAACCAAGTTTCTCCTTAGAGGCTAGGATTTTGAAGCTTCATCTCACATGCTTTGGGCATGTGGCCAAGAGGGATCGGTCCTTGGAGAAGGACATTATGCTTGGAAGGGTGGAAGGGTGGAGGGACAGTGCAGGAGAGGAAGGCCTTGGATAAGATGGCTTGATACAGTAACTAGGGTGATGGGGGTAGGTGTGTCAGAGTCAGTGAGACTGGATCAGGACAGAGCAGGATTCAGAGCTATTGTACATAGGGTCACTATGAGTTGCAGGTGACTCAATGCAAATAACAACAATAATGTTCCCTTGCTTTGTTTGCACAACACAGTGTCTTTGTCTAGGTATAGGTTTTGCATAAACACAATTAAGTGTTCTGTTGTTCTTCTAATATTCTTTTCAATGTTAGTCATAATTTGCTATAATTCACACAGTGAAATGTCTTTGCATAGTCAATAAAGCATAATTAAGCATTCTTCTGATATTCTTTATTCTCAGCCAGGGTCCATCTGACATCAGCAATAATATCCATGATTCCAAGGTCTTTTCTAAATCCTGTTCAAACTTTTAGGAGTTCTATGTACTGTTCTAGCCATTTGTGGTTGGTTTTTGTGTTTTTTTGTTGTTGTTGTCTCCCCCCCCCCCCCCCCCCGCCCACGCCTTCGGCAGCATTTTGCTTGCATGTGATATTAA